GAGAGAGAGAGAGAGAGAGAGAGAGAGAGAGAGAGAGAGAGAGAGAAGTTCTCATACAATGTCTTCCAATTTGACACAGTCAGTCCTTCATTCTGACAGTGAGACCCCGATTAACTATTTTCTCTGCCTTAGGCCTAGGCTGGTTAAAAAATAAAAAGAGTCTCCAGCATTTATAAGTGGTACGTGAGCTTTGACACCGAAACTTAAGAGGAATAGACGCCTTTGCCCTTTTTTTCATGTCTTTATTAGTATTATCAATACAATGTACTTCTGTTCATAGAAATTGTGTTGGCCTACAGAAAATTAAAGACAACTCAGGTTAATGTACTAATGATTTCTAAAATTAACAAGCGCTGTATAGAAAGGTAAAAGAAATTTACTTATTAAAAAAGATACTAAACACTTACATTGTATTCATACTTAGAATACAACTACTAGTAGCCCCAAATAATATTTGTTCTGTAGAATCTGTTGTGAAGATCAGAGTTTTAAACAGTCCAGAGCGTCGTTGCAGTCGGGACCAATCGATAAACCTTAAATTCCCAATATTCTCGATTCATTGCTCTCAACGTACACTTCGAATAGAGCGTCTGAAATGGATGATGCTCATAAAAGTGGGCTTTATCGTTGGCAGCGACAAAATAAACCGAAAGTCCAGTCTCGCTCCCATGTAAGAATTTGTCCAGCTTTAATTGAGTTCGATAATTGACTACTCTAGATTCTATTCTACCAACGGAAGTGTCTGGTGTTTCTTCGACTTGGAATAAACAGTCGACTCTGTAGAATCTACCCAGTAACAGAACCCGGCTGGTTCGAGACACACTTGCTAAACTCATATATTCATGTTATATTTGTTGTTACTTGAACTCAAACCAATGTTTAACACTAACCTTCTGTCTGCCTGCGCCTACAGCACGGCTTAGTCAAACCTGTTTTTCTCTAGGTGGTGATCCTTTCCTCAGCGATGGGGCCCCGATGCGTTGGAATCTCACACATTACATTGTCTGTCTTGCCACTATTTTAAGTGACTCTGTGACCGTGAACCTGAGGGAGGTCAACGTGACCGTTCTACGAGTTAATTAAATGTGCCTTTGAATGGGTTTTGTAGTTGAGTGGTGAAAGTTATTACATACCATGTACTTGAGTTTGAGTGTTCAGTTCCAATCAATACAGGAAGAATGAAATTGATGTTTTGCTGACAAACAAATTTAGTACTAGAAATTAAAGCGACAAGTAAAAAGAATGAAAATAAAAGCACGAGGTCCTCCCTCACCGACTCAAAGATCCTATACACCATCTCGTTTACTATGCCCTTGACTATCTTCTGCATGCGATAGCTTAATAAAATTGTGCACGTCCACTTTTTAGCCACACGAGCCGCCACTGGTTATAGTACACTGGCCTTTATAATGCTGCATTTAAGTTTCAAGTATAGAGGGGATGGAAGAGGATTAGTTTTGTAGAAATAATTACGAATTCTGTAACCAGTGACCACTGACTTTTTAAAAAAAATAGGCCTACTGAATTGTAAATATAATTTTTTTGTGTGCAGTACCTAAAGTATTTGTATTTGAGACGAAACCAGGTGCCTTAATGACAGTGCATGTATTTTCAACCTCTTGTTTTCTAATGTTAATAGGGCCTAAGATAAGTACGGCTAGACTGGCAGTCTAGCCGTACTTAAGTATGGCTAGCCTGGCTGTCTACCCGTACTTAAGTACGGCTAGACAAGAAGTCTAGCCGTACTTAAGGATGGCTAGACTGTCAGGCTAGTCGTACTTAATATTGATGGATTAATTGTAAATGAAATTTTTAGTTAGCAATGCGTAAACTATTTGTATTTCAGACAAAACTAAAAGGTGCCTTACTGACTTGCATGTATTTGAACCTGAATAATTACTAGATCTAGATGGCGTCGGTAGCCTAGTGGTTAGGCTCTCGGACTCGCAACCGTAAGGTCGTGGGTTCGAATCCTGTCAGGGACCCGACGTTGTGTCCTTGGGAAAGGCACTTTACACGAATTTCCCTCACTTCACCCAGGTGGGAATGGGTACCCGGCTATAGACAGCGAAAGATCTTGTCAGTTTGTTAGTGTTTGAGCGCTTAATCGGCTGCTTGCACTGTATGCTTCCCGGGAAGCTGAGAATGTTTCGGAGTGTTCTATGGTCTGCTGGGGTAATAATATAGTGTAAAGCGCATAGAGCCTGCTGTTGAGCGGGGATATGCGCTATAAAAATGCTATCTATTATTATTATTTTATTATTATTAGATCAAATGAGACCTGAGTACTTAACAGGCTTGAGTCGATAGGGCCAAACCTAGATCTAAGTACGGCTAGACTGATTCAATTTGACTCCCTATGCATACAAATGATGAAAAAATACCGCTTTATTCACGTTTTATTCAATCCTTATTATTAAAGGGCTACTTCTGGTGCTGCTCAGTGGCGACGAGGCTTTTACAGATCTCTCTTCAATACAAAATTTGAACGACCTAAGACCTGTGGCTTTAACGTCAGTCCTCATGAAATGTTTAGAAAAACTGGTTTTGAAAGAACTGAGGAAATTAACAGAAGACATACAGGATAACATGCAATTTGCCTGTCGTGCTGAGAGGGGCGTGGAGGATGCCATTCTCGTGTTCTTAGATAACATCTACAAACACATAGACACACCAAGAAATTACTGCAGGATACTTTTTGCTGATTTTTCATCCGCGTTCAACACAATCCAACCACACATAATGGTTTCAAAATTAATTAACATGAACATAAACAAGAACATTATAGCTTGGATTCTTGAGTTCTTAACCAATCGACCTCAATATGTAAAATTAAATGGTGTAAAATCCTACCTAATATTCACGAACACCGGTACGCCCCAAGGCTGTGTAATCTCCCTGTCTTGTTTATGCTCTACACCAACGACTGTACTTTTGATAACAAAAAATACCATCTAGCATAAGGCTTTTGTCAGAATGAGCATAGATGTGTGTTGCTCTTAGAGTATGTATCTCTGTATATAACTCCAAAGGTCTAGTATTTAAATTCCTGCATGTGGTTGAATGATGCATTTTCTCTGCTCCCATAGCTGAAACATCATATTAAGCACAAAACATATATATACAAATTTCAAAGCTGTCGCACCATTTTTATTGGAATAGGAAAGGATTTTTTAAGGTATATGAAGAAACCCCTACCTATTGGCAAAGGCTCTTTTATAAGTAATATATATAGGCTAGATTTTGGAATGATTTTACTGATTTTGTCTTTCTCAAGCTTTTGTTTGATTAGTGGGTTTGCCAAGAACGCAGTAATCAAAAGGTATAATAATTTTCTCTTTTCTTGCAGAAAGTAACGACCCAAAATGACATCCAAGACTGGATAAAGGCAAGTGAAATTTTTGCACCTATAGTGACTGGAGAAATAGGCCTGGTCGTAAACTTTACGTTTTATATAAAAACTCTTGCTATTCCATACAGTAGTTTCCGCCTAAGATCCCACTGCTCGGGAGCAAGGAAAATACGGGATCTTAGGCGAACTGGGATCTTAACCGAATGGCCAGGGGGAAGAATCCACAGTAACTCATGGTCAGGCCCATAATCTGTACAATGATCTTCCCTTACTTTAAAATGAACTGACGTGACTCCTGGGCACTAAAAGTGCTTTTCAGAAGTCAGTTTTTCCCCTTTCTTTTGTTTGGTGGGGGGGGGAGGCTTTTAAAAAAATACTGTGTCAGGTGGGAACCAGTTGGCTTCAAGCAATGCCCCCCCACCCAAAATTTATTGCCTTCCATCTGTAATGGAGTTCCCCGCCCATGTCATGATACATCATAAATCGTTGTGTTGTGACCACACCGACCAAATTTTTTAAAAAGTGAAAGGCAGGTTCACTGCCAACAGATGACCCCATTACGCAGAGGCGATCAGACAAAGTTGGAGCGCAAAACTGAAAGATGAGAGCAATGGTCGGGAAAACGGAAGCGTCCCCGAGTTAACAGTTTGATAGAATGCAGTCTGACACTTGCTTGTAGGCCCTCCCCTCCTAGTGTGTGATGTACGATCAGGCGGACGGCTCAGGCAATCGGGGAAAGCAAGGCATCGACGAGTTCACACCTTGGTGCGATCCCGTCTGGGGTAAACATCGTAATCGCTAATCGAGATTTACAACAGAGGTGTGATCGCATTCACTAGAGTGAATGATCAGTGACGCGACGGACCATACAATGATCGCACATTTTCGCTACTTGGTTGATCTGCTGAGCGCGCCCAGGTTTCTTATTCTTTTTTTTTTCGTAAATAAAGAAAAATATTGAAAAAATATGACGTGAAAAGCGGGATCTTAGCTGAATATAGCTCCTTCAGTGTGGGATCTTAGAGGTGACTCTTATATAGTAAAAATTCTGTCTTTACAAAACTGCGGGATCTTATGCGAACTGGTACCAGAAGCGGTGGGATCTTAGGCGGACCGTAAGTACACATTTTTTTAATGCGGTAAAGTTTATATTGATATCTGTAATGCACATCTCTTTCCCTTTCAATGGACTCTGTTACCTTATCTGTTTGTCTCTGAAGGAGGTTTTCCCTCTGTGCTAGAGCCTTCTTTTAGTACAAAGCCTGAGAGAGACATGTACATATCACTAAACTGGTCATTGTATCAAAAACAAATTAACCTATTTTGATAATTCTTCACTTAATGAAAGAATACCCGCGAAGTGAGATCTATTTTTGGCAATTGCCAAAAGTTAATTATAATGTCTCCGTTATGATAAAGGAATTTGATGACCTGCTAACAGCTAATCACCAGCAAAGTGGTTCTGACTGCGATCCACCGAGAGCAGCTTTACACAGATATGAAGTTAATAATTTATGTTTTTGTGAGTCAATATATGACTGAAGTTCATCATAGTATAGATTTCCTAAGTAGTAAAACCGTATAAAAGGTTATCTCTGATTAGATAATAGATATATGGTAAAAGAAATAATTGGAAGGATCGACCTCTAAAAGGAGCTTATTTTTTTTGTCCTGCCTTGTTCTTTTAATGAAAGGATAAAACAAGGGGGCTCTCGTGGCCTAGAGGTTAAGGTGTTGGCCCCTCATTCAAAGGTCCCGGGTTCGAATCCGGGTAGCGACCGAAAAATTTTCTTCTCTAAAATTGTCTCCTTTCACCTCTTTTCCTGCTCTCTAGTTATGTTCTGTTGTCTGCTTTCATTTCCACTTTCTGCCCCCACCCCCTCGCCTCCTTTGCCCCCTCCTCTGGGCTCCTGACTCTTTCTGCAGCCTTTCTACTGCTACCCCTTGGCTACTCTTTACTGCTGTCTTTCTGCCACACCCCTGATCTTCTGGTAGGAAAGATCTACACCTAGCCTTCTCGGACAAGAGCAAAAAATCTCGGAGGGCCCATGTGCAAGTTGCGCACGTTAAAGATCCCTTGGTGGTCTAAAAATCGATAAGAGTAGGCCTCGGCCGCCACCCGGGCAAAATTTAAAATTTCCTACCAACTGAAAATATTAGGTGTGTCCCGCGCGCTCATATGACCTTATGCAGTTGCGAGCGCTGTAAAAACACTTACCAAGGATAAAACAATAATTAATAGATGGCTTGTTTTCTACACAATTACTAAATGTTTACGAAGTCAGTGACATGTCTCTTTGTTTTGGCTGATTATTATGGGATTAAGACTTTTTGGACACAATACCCCCCCCTTCCCCCCCCTCCCACACACACACACACACATACTCTCACCATCACAACATAAATTGCCTTCACAGAAAGTGACAGAAGCATCTGACAAGGCGACGGATGTAGCGTTCGGGCTGGCTCCGTCGGGCAAGGAGAGGGGTAAAGCAGCAGTTCGCCTCACAGCCGGTCATGTGAGAGACCATGAGCATGCCTGTTCTGAAGGTATTGACACCTCTTCATTCGGATGATGAAACGCCTTTTTTAAAATAGTTTTGATTCCAAATTTTTTAAATTTCCTTTATCAATAGCCTGATCAGTTACCCTACTTGTGTGAAGAAATCAAAGTGAACCTTTGACTAGTTTTTTAATTTTTTGAAATGCAAATTTCGGAAGAACATTTATTCTTTAATGGTTACGCTGACAAAATGCCATTTTTCTCGAGACTTTGAATTTTTAAAAGGGCGTTTTGTCAGCAAACGGCAGACCTTTATTGGTAGTTTTTCATCGTATGTGAGGCATCGTGGTCAAGTCAGGTGCTCGCCAAAATAATACAAGCGAAGAAATTAACATTTTTCTTCCCGTTCGACAATTTCTATTGATTTTTTAAAAATTCGGGCTCAACACTTTATATATCCACTCAAAATCACATTCCTGTAAGGATTTTATAGATAAATTTTGGTCAAAGGCTCAAAAATATAAATTTGCCGTTTCCAAGACTCTACAGCTTTGGAAATCACCATTCTTTGGAGGTCATCTGAAAAATACTTTTACCTCTGTCAAGAAGCAACCCCTACATCCTTCAGTCGCAAATATTGCCACTGTTATTCAAGATGGATGGGGTTTTTTTCATCAAAAGCAAGGCAAATGAACAGGTTTTAAGATTATGCGAATAATTCCGCGTGCCCAAAAATTAATCAACGTTGAGACAAATGTGTCATGACACAAAACTAAAAAATTGCATACACTATGCTGAACTTTGCATTTTTTACATCGGCAAATAATGAATTAATAACATTTATAATGAAAAAAGTAGCAGAATGCTAATCTGACGTCATTCTTTACCAAAATGCTAATCTGACGTCATTCTTTAGAGTACAGTATTTGCATTTTTAAAACAATTTTACAGGAGTGCCAAAAAACTGAATATTGTCACCAAGAAAACATTTGCTTTAAAAGTAATGAATTTATTATCAAAATTATATACAGTCGAACCTGCCCTGACGGCCACCTGTACAAACGGACACTTTCCTTTTCACCCCTTGCGTTTTTTCTATATAATTTAACTGTGTAAAACGGGCACCTGTCCAACGCGGCCGCGGCCACCATATTTCAACACGCAACCCCTATCACACTAATCAATAACACCTGTCTTAGACAGCCACCTTAGTGACTCAATTACGCTTTGTCATAAATCATGCATTGGCCCCTGGCGTTGTGGGCAAGCCGTCATAATTCAATCACCTGTCGTTGTTGTTAGGTAGTCCCTCCAACCGATCATGTCGCGTAGGCCCCTCCCGCTGTTGACCAATAGGTGACAAAATTAACTTTCAGCTGCAGGTGAGGGAAGCGTGTGATCCCTCATAACCCATAAGCCCCGCCCAGAACTCATGCACAAATCGTAAGTGAGATGAGTGGTTACTGTTTACCCAGTCTGTAACAAAGTAACAATGGACGTCAGCATGAACTTGTGACAGAAGTGTCGCTCGTTCTCAAGTGGTGGCGACTCGTGTGTTTGTTTTACCAGGGCACTCGGGCTTCCTTGTCTGAAACATTTTGTTTTATTGTCACCCTTGCACAAAAGCAGCAACAAAAGAAAAAAAAACCCAGCGAAAACAACAACAACAACAAAAATAACAACAAAAACAATGCGGCTACCTTCTGTTGGGACCTCAGAAAGGAAGGGTTTGTTTTCTCAGAAAAAAATGGTTTGTTTTCTTCATCTTGATCAGTCCTGCCTAAGACGGCCACCTGTCTTATACGGCCACTGTTCTCCTTGACAATGGGTGGCCGTCTTACACAGGTTCGACTGTACTTTAAAATATTGACTTGGTATGTTTGCAAAGAGTCTGTTTTCTAAGTAACAACATTCAGTTGGTTTTTTGGGGTTTTTTGTTGGCTCTCCTGTAAAATTGTAAAAACTGCATAAAATTCTGCACTTTTAAAAACAATGGCAGTAAAGTATCAGTCAGCGGATTGATCTCTCGGTCTACTGGGTTGTTGTAAGAAGCTTTTGGCAGGTCTTGCTTCCTTTCTTTCCCTCAGCTGTTTGTCTGTCTGTTGTAATTGAGCTGTATATGATTTTTGAAGTTTGTGTCTTTGTATATTCATCTTTATGTATATATATTTATACATGTGTGTGTTTCTGTGTCTGTAGTTAAGTTACTTTAATTCAATGAAGAGAATAGTAATTGAAACTACAAAAATATACTTTTATCAGATATTCTTTCTTCTCTTGTGTACTGTATCATCATGTATGTTTGTCATGTATGCATGTAGGCATCTGTGTATGTGTGTCTGTGTGTGTGTGTGTATATGTGTGTGTGTGTGTGTGTGTGTGTGTATATGTGTGTGTGTGTGTGTGTGTGTGTGTGTGCTCTGAGTCTAAAATTTCTTTACTAAAATAGAAAATCTGCTGATCTAGCTTTCGTTTAAAATTACTGTCTTTCCTCTCAGCTCTGTGTGATTGCTTTGAGGGTGTCACTGGTAGGTTGACTTCTTCACTGTCACTCTTTTCTTTCTGTCTGTCTGCCTTGCTTTTTCTCAGCTCTAGTTGTGGATTATTGTGTCATTGTGCTTCTTTTCACTCAATTTCTTGCTCTTTGCTACTGTGTTCATCTATTTGTGTGTATCTGTATCTGTGTGAGCGCAGCTCAAGAGCTCCTGACCCAGTGGGTGAATGAGAAACTTCACTTTGACGATGACGACGGGTTTGATGACCTTGAAGCGTGGCGGAGGAAGAGAGAGCTAAGAAACGCCAACAACAACCAAAGCTTGACCTCCGCACCCACCAGGGACAGTGGAGAGTTCAACTGGGACGCGGTGCATGAGCTAGCGGCGGACGACAGCGTGGACATCGATGAGGCTGCCATCTACGAGCGGGTCAAGAAAGCTGCCATCGGGGAAGAGGGTAAGATTGCATATGAATCATTCTCGGAAGGTGAGGCAGCCAGAATATGCTTTGAAAACATTGAGCTTTTAAGACTTTTTCTGATCATATTTGTGAGTTTTTGGTTTTAATGGCAAGCTCATATCCTGAATTTATAGTATACATAAAATTGACTGAAACAGTGTTTTGATTTTTGAAGGTTTGTTTTCAAAATTTAAAATAAGCATTTTCCTGCTTCAAATCTTGTTGCACAATTACTCATGTACGTGCCGTCTCTGTCTTCTTCTGCTGCTTCAGGTGCTCTGATGTAGTTTGCTCCTTCTTTCCTATCTGTCGTCCTTATCTCACCTCCTTTTTTTGTATTTTTGTTACTCTCTTGTAACACCTCTAATCTTCGGCACTTATATGACCTTATTGTGTTACAAGTGCCGTGCATAGAGTGCAAACAGCAGAATGAATGCTGAAACACTAACAAACTGACCAGATCGTTCGCTGTCTATATATCGCTACCTAAGAATTGCAAAGTTCTAGATTCTATGTGACATTTTTGGCCGTTTTGAGTTACGAAGACCACGAAGTCAAAAACCAA